AGATGATTGAACATATATGAATGTCATATCTCATATGGAAGCATCTACATATATGGAAGCAACTTTTATTGATAAATAAATATTTGCACTGAAATGCATTAAATGAAGCTGGTGAAAATGTGTTGAAGCAACAAGTATATTTTCACTTTGCAACATGTTTATATTATAAAGATGGCAACACCTTAAAAAGCAAACAATGCTATACAAAATGTTATAGAAACATTGATTTATGCGATGAAAGCAAGAATTAATCAAATATACCAATATACAAAAAACAAAACAAAAAAATTTTTATTATATAAAACACTTGACGGTGAAATAAAATAAAATAATATAAAATAAAATAAAATAAAGTAAAATAAAATAAAATGAAATGAAATGAAATAAAATAAAATTAAATAAAATAAAACAAAATAATATTAAGTTAAGTAAACCAACATAAAATAAAATAATACAAGAGAATATAAAATAAAATTAATTTAAATAAAATAAAATAAAATATAACAAAAATTAAAAAAATAAAATTAAACAAGCCGTACAAGCATTTAATTTTTGAGACACAGGTGTGTCAAACCTGTGGACTCTGAGTTAAAGTCCTGACAGTGTGGATTCAGCAAGTGCGATATTTGGGTAAACGTGAAAGAAACTCAGTTTTCAAATAGGGGAAGTAATTTTGCCACTATTTTATCCTGGCAAAAGAAGTATGCATTTTTCTACAAGAAACATGGAGATATACAACAGTATATATAGATAAACAGGCAAATATAGGAGTCAGCGGTGGCACAATAAAATAAAATAAATGTAGAATTAATTCAGAGTCTGCTTGATAAGATCATTCTATATAGCGCGTTTAATGTCCAAACAAAACGAATGAAATTGTCCTGCGCAGCTATTATACATATAATTATAGCAGAAATAGGGGTGAATTATTCAAGAGAACAGAGATAATTCAAAAGTCTGTTATATTGGACTCATATGTATAAGTAATTAAAATAAACATAGTATTCGTTTTTACGAACATAGTACTGGAATAAATGCACCTTGTAAGTAAAATCCAAATTACATTAATAGTAATGCTGATAATCTAATGAAGCTGATAAGAATTTTACAAAACTAAATATAGTATGAACGCATAATATTTTAGATTTGATTAAAAAATCATGGATGTTATAAACATATGTTAGAATATATAACAAAATAAAAATAGCATCAAATACGTAATATCCATAAAATTTGAAATTTGTAGTCTCAGGTTATTCACCTGAAAAGTATTTAATTTCCTTATTAAACAAAAAATTAAGTAAGTAAACAATATGTATAACAAATATCTCTATAAAAGGAATAGTTCTGAAAAATAATAAATAGGCAAACTCAAAAGTTAACTTTGAATTCGTTGAACTTGTGTTTCCAAATAAAGCTGTTTATAAGCTAGTTTTAATTTAAAGCACGGCAAGTGCTTTGAATAATGTCACTAATTTAATGAAAAAGTGACAAAAAACTTGGAACTAGAGCACTGAAAGTTTGTGCAGCCTTGGCTACCTGGGGATAAACACGATTAGTCATCGCTTTTAATTGGACAGGCACAAGTTCTAAGCGTGACACTTTTATGTATGGACTAATTAAAAATTCGATTATTTCTTAAGACCACTGATGATGAGTACTTGACAATACTCGAAACAGAGTTGTAAATTTTTCTGTTTGTCCTTTCTTTCTTTGCTATTCGAAAACCCTCTAAAAAACACAAAAAGAAAAGTAAAATAAAATGAATGAAAATCGTAGAAAATGAAACCCCTTTTTAAAATAATTGCAATTCATTGGATGTAATTTGAAGTTATCAACTCCATATTGATTCTAATTAAAGTGAGATATCGTCTTAATAACCCAAATTTTATGGTCAACAAAATAATTATTTTTTTTTTTTTTGGTGATCAAACAAGCGTTAAAAACATTTTAAAAACATTGAGAGGCAAAAAATCGGTTCATGTAAAATCAGTGAACGTTGTTCGGCTGCCATTGACTGCCTTTCTGCACTGTTGTCTGTATGTCTGTCTGCACGGTCTGAACAGGCACATGTGTTAACACATGTTTTGGTCTCACGATTTTGAATGGCAACGGTAGCTGATCAAAATGTGCACAAAACCAGGGACCATTAAAAAAACAAAAACTTCGATAAGAAGAAGAAAAATGGCGCGCAATGCTTGGCGGCCCACCATCAAGTAACGAATTAAAAATTTATGATAATTTCATGAGCAATTTCATAAATCGCATATTAAGCCACACAAAAAAAAAATAAAAATACTTAAAAACAAATAAAACAACAAATAAATAACAACAAAATGTGACAAAATCAGTATGAATTTTTCTAGACCAACAGTTTTTCTTGGCATTGTTGTTGCTGGTGCTGCCGCTCTAGGAATGTATCGAAGCGGATTTGGCAATAACTTTGTTGCATTTGGGTACACGCTTCGGAATAGTTGTTGTCATTGATGTCGTATTTAGATTGCATATTTCATAGGTTTTTATTATTTTTTAGGTTTCTGCATATTTTGTAAAGATTATTGTGATTTTTGTGGATTTGTTTTGTCTTTTTTTATCTGTGCGGATTTTGACAAAATTTATGCTTGTTTGAAGTTCGTGATTTCTGTTTACTAATGTGGCACCTCCTTTGCACCCAACACGAGCTGCCCGAACATGTGCTGCATAAGTTGTTACCTGGCAATAAGCACTTTGTAGATTTTTTACGAGAATTTAATGTTTTATTAAAATTTATTGCAACTGAGATGACAATCATGCCATGAAACTACTGTAAACATTTAGAAAGCCACAAGTACCCAATTTGGGAGGTCCAAGATTTGATGGTGTTGTAGAAGAGGGCTCGGCTTGGATATAAAGTGCAGTGGAAGAAAAAAAGATAGAAAAGCTTATACATATAGCAGTAGGAGGTTCTAAAAATCATAACGTAGAAAAGTTTTTCAAAGTATAGCGAATAAAAATTGTATATGATATTTTAAATGAAAACTACATTAAAAGAATTGAATACTACTGAATGGTAAGGTATTAATATTTAAATTACGTAGTAGTAGCAGAGTAGCAGCAGGAATTGGTCTTAAACATTAAATAATTCCGCAGAATATCTATAAACTATAATGGCTTTTGTAATCTGGCGGTATAATATATGCATTTAATTGTATTTATTAGAAATAACCAAGAGGGAGTAAGATAAAGAAAAGAAAATAGATAGTGAGATAGACAGAGAGAGAGAGAGAGAGAGAGATAAACATAGTATAGAGATAGATAGAAAGAGAGATTGGAAAAATAGAGAGAGTATTTAAGTGAGACGCCGATAGAGGAGAGAGAAAAGAAGATAAACCAAACGAAAGAAAAGAAAAGAAAAGAAAAGCAAAGAAAAGAAAATAAAAGAAGAAAAAAGAAGTAGAGGGAAGAGAAAAGAAAAAAGAAAGAAAGAAAGAGAATAGAATAGAAGAGAAGATAATAGAAGAGAAAATAAGAGTTGGATAGATAGGAAAATAAATAGAGAAATGAATTATTCTACCTGTATCATTATGAGAATAAAGAGTAAAGAACTTAACCTCATTTTCGATATCCATTTACTGTGAAACAAATAGAACTCATTATTCTATGTTTATAACAGTTTAACTGTTTTAAATATAATCGTTATTCACATTCAACAAAGAGTTCAATAATTTATAACATAAATTTATATTTATTCACTACGTACAGGTTTGTGTTTTTGTACATCAAAAAAAGACTAATCAGTATTTAAGCTATTATTACTATTATATAAAATTTCACTGTTATAAAATAAACTCCTTTACTTCAGTTATTCATGCAGTTATTGCTTAACACAAATTAAATATGGGCATTAATAGATATAAAGAACTAGTTAAGATCATTAAAATCTTAATACAGAAATAAAAAAAAATGCGAAAATAAAAAGTAAAAAAGTGGTGTTCATTGGAATAAAGGGGAGTAACAGAAATGAAAAAAATTGCATATGAAAACTGATTTACATTTACTGTTTATTAAACTTCACAGCAGAGATTCTTATTTGCTAAAGGACCTCTGTTGCATGACCTCATGAATTATAATATATAAAATTTTTGACACTCCCTGCAAGTTTTATGGTAATCTGAGCCGTCAAAAATAGATGTGTTAGATAATAGATAAGACAGATATTATCTATTATCTAACACATATATTTTTGACGGCTCAGATTACCATAAAACTTGCAGGGAGTGTCAAAAATTTTATATATTATAATTCATGAGTGTAAATATCATAGATTTGTTTATAATAATTTTAAATAAAAAAAAGTTGCATTGAAAGATTTATTATTTTAAACATTTAGGAAATCGTCCTGGATTACATGGTAGCTCTTTTAATGTGAGTGAAGTACAATTATTTAGAATATTATAGAAATTTATTACATGCAATTAATTTGGTTTGCTACGTGTTAATAGCGCTAACTCAAAATGATTTACAAGAATATGAGATCAGGCATCAGCCCACTCTAATCTGTTCCTGAGCAGAACCTACTTTCACAATTCTGTACACACATGATATGCCGCCACACCTGCACTGCAATTGCAATGAACATTTTGGGAGAATGATTTTTATGATTTTTAAATACACAATATTCTGTGTTGCATTTATTTACCCTTTTTTGCAAAAAAAAAACCAAAAGCAAAACAAATAAATCGAAACAGAAAAAAGTGCATTGCAAATTTATTTTAAGTACAAATCCAAACAAAACCAAAGCTGTGCAAATAAATTTCTTAAAAAAATTTTTAAAAAAAGTCGTTGAAATTTATCAACGCCAGCTACTTCAGCTGGCGTAGAATGTACACAAAGGTGGGGTCTTCAGAGCGCTTGCGACGGCTGTTGACTTACAGCAAGTACGAAATATTGGTCGTATTGGAAGAAAGGCTAAGTTTGTCTAGAATTTAACTAATTTAAATGGGATCAAACTATTTACTTACATGCTTCTCTGGTCGTAGAAGTACGCCATTTGCAGTGGCTGCTGTTTGCGATTCGCATTCTCGGTCACGTTCACGTTCGCGCTCGATATTTGGCGCACCTTTGCCATAGCGACTTTGTATGGCGGCTGAGGCGGCAGCTGACAACAACATGGGCGATGTAGTTGATGTTGGTGATGAGGCGGCCGATGATGATGTGGTTGGCTTATCTGTAGCCATTAAGTTGTCCAAATCGCGTAAGAATTTATTTGCCCAAATGTTAACATCATCGTTTGCGATGGCTTCCGCACTAATAACAGCTGCCGATTGTTGTTGTTGCAAACGATTGGGTGTTTTTACTGATGTTGTAGCCATATCGGCTCCTATATCGCTATGGTGTTGTTGTATTATTGCTGGACTGAGTGGTGGACTAAGTGGTGGTGGCGGTAAGGCTTTTAGTTTGGTTAATGTTGGTGATTTTATGCGCATTTGGCCTGCAACTGTTGACAACATATTTGTTGCTGCATTTTCATTTGCATTTCCATTTGCACTTTTACTACTATTTGTTTTTTCACTTATGTCAGGTTGCAAATCTTTGTTTTCAGTTACTTTAACTGCTGCTGTTGTTGTTGCTGCTGCTGGAAGCGACGCGTGTTCATTAATGTCACTCTGACAACTAATTTCCGTCAACGAACAGATTTCCTCGTTTGTTGCTGTTGGCTGTGTTGTTGTCTTTGCAATGCTTGTGGGTAATTTGTTACTGTTGCTGTTATTACTGTTACTGTTGTTGGTAATATTTTTCCAACAACGTATGTGTCCACCACTGGCGCTGTCAAAACCACTATCAGATTCTGTTGAAAGCGACAATTCATCATTGATTACAGCTGTTGTTCTTGCCGCTGCCATGGTGACTGGCGTGGATGTGGCAAAGTTGGCTTGTTCCTGTGATTGCCGCTGCTGTTGCTGTTGCTGTTGTTGATGATATTCCTGTTGCAATTGTTGTATTCTTTGGCGAGCTTTATGCAATTCAAATACTTCATTGATTTCCAACTGAAAATAGTTTACGAAAAAAAAGATACATTTAAAATTTGTGTTTAGAAGTAGAAAAAATGTTTGTTTATTTGTAATTTTCTGTAATTGTGGGTTTTTATGTGGTGAAGTACAAGTAGAAATTGCGACTGAAGTTGCAATTGATAGTTAATTTAACATTATCTGCTGCTTGAAATAATTTTCAAGTTTATATAATTTTTTTTTTTGCTGCTTTGTATTTAAGTACAGCTTACTTTATACGATTTTGTTATAAGTGCATCAGAACTGTGTTGGCAGTTAGTTTGCTGCTTGTAAGTAGAAGAGATATTCCAGAATTAACTAATAAAAACGTTAAAAAAACATTTTGATAATATTAGTGATAAGCTGGAAACGCATGTATCAATAAATAACGTGGATGGACGCGTACAGGTTGGAGAATGCGTACCGCCTAATGCGAAAATGTAATAAATTTGCTATTTTTATGCTGCACTACACTAACTTCTTGTTTTTTATAGCAGAGAAAAGTGCTTAGAGATAAATATAGCCATAGTATTCATTACAAGTTAAGACCAGGAAAAAAAAAGGAACTAAGAAGGAGTGAAGACGTTTTTTAAGCTTAACTTTCAGATTGCACTAGCGAACAAGATCCTTATCGGAAAATAGTTTCAGGTATTGATATGATACTTAATATAAAAATTTATGTAATGTCGCCATTTAAAAGGAACGAAGGCGGAAAAATTATCAGTTCACCGCATTAAACTAAAATTTTTATTAAGGATTGCATATGGCAGTGTACAGTTTCTTACTATATATATATGTATATAAATATATATGGTAATTATCAAATACGTTAATGCAGCAATAAATGTGGTTTCAAAGTTATGGATACATATTTTAAACATGAGTAATCAACTATAGATGCCATAATCCTATATATAATTTAAATAGATTTAATTAAATTAATTTTAGTTTATTAAACATTTATTATATTTATATTGCTGCAAAGTTTGTCGTAAAAACAATCAAGATCGCCAGAATTCACAAGTAGCGCAATTTTCTTTAAATATTAAGCAGAAGAATTGTAGAATAATTTGAACTGTTATAAGAGAGGTGATTTAAAATAGTTTGTGCCTGACATGGAAGCCACCAGCTTTATTTTTTTTTGTAGTTTTTTTTCGATATCATATCGTTTTAATTCGATATAATTTTTTTTAATCTCTCATTAATTTTTTTCCATTATTTTCATCAGCACTACAACTGCTATCTCATTTTTGTTTCCTTGAAGAAGGCTTTCCACGATCTTTATTCTGATCCAACGTCAAGCAATTTGTAGATACAAGCTCCAAACAGACATACTCTGTCTTGTTGCAGCTTAATATAAGATCTACAGGAAATGGTTCTTGGGACAGGCTCTTACTTTTTTATACCAGCTGGAAAATTCACGCATTTGAGTTAAGTAAGTTATAGTAGTCACAAACTAGTAGCAACTCCGAAACCGTTTATGCTTTTCAAACGTGAGTAAAAGGTTCTTGAATTTAAAGACACTCAATAAACTGCAGTAGGCATTGTTGACTTTCAGTAACTGTCCGCAAATTTCTACATTCATATGATTATAAGTAGTAGCGATTATTCCAGGCTAGTTGATGGGTTGAACCGTGGTAAGCTTGCGCTCCGTTATAGTGATTGATTGACCAACCAAAGATGATATTATAGAGATTTCATTGCACACAATGTTACCATATAGTTTGCATTTACTCATTGGAACGAACATTTCTAAACTATGTTATGCTTCAAGATCTTTGAAATAACCATTTACAGCAAACATCATTATTTCCTCTAGTGAAATTTTAGTGCTTGTTGATGTTCAGTACTGCGGTAGCTCATAATGAATATAGGAAGCTTTGGGGGTCTATAACAGAGTTTCAATAGTCATCATAGATTCGTAATTGAAATGGTTTCCAATCTTAATAGAACAAATTTGTTATGTTGAATTGCTAGAAGTTATCTGCCTATTTAACAATGGGTTTTTATGTATGCCTCAAGCTAACAAGCACCTAATTGTACATACCAATTAAGCAACATATTTTCTATTCCTTAAGTGATAATGTTTAAATACAATTATGTAAATTTATTAAGCTAATTGCATTTTATAAGAACATTACGATTTGTAAAGGCAATAAATAGGAATTGAAAATAAAAATCTTTATTCTCTGTTAAGTAAAATAACCAGTTTTTTCCTTGGTAAATTGCTTAATTAAAACTTGCCTACAGGAGCAAAACCTACGATTGCTTGCCCATAAGATTTGCTCCTTGCGGTTTGACTGAATAAACACCTTAACTTAAACTTAATTGTTTTATGTTTGGTTTTTATTTGGGATTCGTTGGTTATGTACTTCCCAATCCACAGTCGAAGCACTTAAATGCGATTGAAAATTAACAGGCAATAAATTTTCAAAGCGCACTGCACTAAACAGAAAACTTTGTAGATAAAAGCGTAGCGAAAAAACTACGAAAAATCTGTAGAAAAATTTGTACGCTTTCTTTCACGGTAGCTGCTGCCTCTTGCACTGCGAACCATAATGCAACGGATTTTATCGGTATTTGATGTACGCGCGGTAGGATCTTTGAGCTACAATGTACCAGGTTGAATTTAGCGCATAATTTGTCTTGCGATAGTGTTAGCTAATTTATGGGTTCCTATGTTCCAATGCTTTTTATTTGTTGAAAGTTTTTTTTCCTTCCTTCTTTCATTTCTACAACATGCAACATGCAGCAAAATAGTTGTGTATGCATTTTTTTAATATTTTATACATATACATTAAATATTTTTTTATTTTTTATTTTATATGCCAGTTCAAGAAAAAGAGTTTGCAAAAAAGAAGAAAATTGCTTTGGTGCATTTTGTGCAATGGATCCGGAGTCCACACTGTCTACGGTGGAACACTGAACTTGGTAAAATAGAGTGAAAATGGCATAAGATTATCGGCTCATTTTGTGTTACTGTGTAATTTAAAGATTTTCCTTTACATGGGCCTAGTTTTACAGTCACGATCGCAGACGTGTCTGATATAATATACATACAAATAATAATATCAATCAATTTCCTTTATAATTTTACCTTCCGGTATTTTCGCATATATCAAAGCTGACCTTACGTGACACTGTACATAATTCAGTAGTTCGGCGCAAGATTTTATTCTGTTCAACGTTTTAAAATTATTTAATTTTATGAATTTATTGATAAATATATTTTTCTAATTTTATTAATATATATAGAATATATAAAAATATATGAAAATGTATATTTTGAAATTTATAAGAACACTAATTAGTTTTGTTATTTAAAGTCAATTATGACGAAAGAAACCATGTTCTCTAATAGATACTATTGTTTTAATAGTGAAGTATTTTGAAGAGTAGTGAATAACAACAACAAAAACTTTATTATTTACTAATTAATTGAATTGAAAGCACTCCACATCAGTGGTCTTTTGGAAACCTTTTTTATAGTTAAATTATTGAAATATTTATTAGTTTGGTTTTGGTTTTTGTTCCAACAAAAATAACAAATAAGGATCTCATAACACAAATAATTAATTAGGGTTATGTCCTTATTAAGTCCGGGCAAGCTGAGAATAATAGAAAAATATAATAGATAATTGCAAGAATATTATTTAATAAATAAATAAATATTGGTATAAATATTATGCTTATTTATGTTATATTAAATTTGATATAAACGTCACTTTCGACAGCAGTGACTACCATATTTCATAGAAACTATTTTATTTAATAAAGAGATTTCGAATAAAAGTGCATTGTAATAACAAAATTTTTAATTATGCTTAATTAATTAATTTTTTAGCTGATATATATGTTTTGAGTAATATAATAATATGGTATTTTTGATATGATATAGCTGTTTTGAGTAATGAGTTTTAAGTATACTGTTCGAAACCTTTCCAGTTTATTTTTAAATTTTAGTTTGTTTATATTATTTTATTTTTCATCTGTATTTATTTATTTATTTTTTTATTAAAATTTTAGTTTATATCTTGCAATTTTAGTTTTATATAATTTACTTTTTTATATAATTTATTAAAATAATTAATATTCATAAATTTAATTTATATAAATTCATTTAATTTAAATAAAATATAATTTATTTTTTAACATAATTTATTTTTATATTTTGTTGTAACTCATAAGACTATGTAGGAGAATTTAAAATTTATTGGAAATAACAATTGTAGGACTTAATATGATAAAGAATATTTTTTTTAAATTTGCAATAAAAAAATTTAGACATTATGAAATAGTCTTGCTCTTATTTTTATAACCATAAGTAAGAGTATATTAAGAAATCCTACACTATTCAATAAAATATGAGCCTGCGGAAAATGCTCCTTAAAATAAAATATTATTTCAACATTTAATTTCACGCATTGGCACACAATACAAATAGTCCTGCCACAATGAGGCACGATGACCACGTCAAGTAACCAATCACGCTCACTGAACATGCATTTCCAAACAATGTATTAAGTCCCAGTTGTGAGCTCGTTGGTGGCCAAAGCTGGGTGTATTCCCAAAACTGGATACAATAGTTGAACTATAAAAGAGACCTGCATATCAACAGGTACTTTTAGTTTTCTATTAAAATTCTGGTGTAGAAGAGCGGAGCCAGTACAGAAATAATAAGAAGCAATACTTTGGAATAATCGAAATTTGAGTTTTAAAAAAAAAAATTGAAAGGTGGCTTATATGAAAAACCGTGGCTTGAAATAGAAATTACAATACTTAACCTGCAACGCATTGGCGTTGCGCTGAAAGAGCAGACGAGCGTACAACATGAAAATCACGCTTGCCGTGCTCCTCGCATTGGTAACAATTTATTGCAACTCAACTGCCTTATCTTTGCCACCATCGGTTAACGTTAAAGGTACAGCATCCTTGCAACAGCAATTGTCTGCCAAAAATGCAGCCGAAACTGCTATTGCAGATCTAAACGATGTTGCTAC